AAATGCCAGAGAAAAACAATGAAAGACAGAAACATTGATTAGTACATTATGAAATGCCAGAGAAAAACAATGAAAGACAGAAACATTGATTAGTACATTATGAAATGCCAGAGAAAAACAATGAAAGACAGAAACATTGATTAGTACATTATGAAATGCCAGAGAAAAACAATGAAAGACAGAAACATTGATTAGTACATTATGAAATGCACTAACTTCCTCAGTACCAAACTCATATATTTTTATAAATATAACTATTTATTTATCTCACATACAAATTACAAGTTTGAATATTCAACGTACAGTATAAATATGAACACACAAACAAATGCATACACACCACACACACACATGAGCATATTCCCGCTACATTGAATAACTCTATGCTCAGATGTACACGAGATAAACTGATTACACATAGCATACCTTTTCCTGATAAGTACTTGCTCTAACTTAAAACACTGTCCAATCACAATTCCCAGCTCTCTAAACTGCAATTATTCAGATGTTACTTACTGTAAGTATGTAGCTTTTACAGCTAAACATATCAATTTAAAAACAATCTTTCTTCACCTACAAGCCTATTAAGATTCAACTGCTTGAATGCAAATAAAATTTAGTAAGAATATTGTATATTTTACAAACTGTACCTAATGAATATACAGTACAGTCAAAAATTACCACCAGAGTGTATAGTTGTCACAGTGTAGGCACTATGTATCTACAGTACACACTGGACTTTAAATAATACATATTAACTCCAGTAGTACGTACAGGTCATGATTAAATACTGGAGGAGTACATACAATATCTATCTACGGTAGTGCATAGTCCTCTTAGCATAACGACACAGTTTGAAACTGGAGTGTAAGCACTATGTATCTACAGTACACACTGGACTGTAAACAATACATATTAAAAGGTAAAAACTACTTGAAAACCAAGTAGATTACAGTTGATATTACAGTTTACTGATTACAGTTCCTTTTATGGTCAACCTGCCATGAGAACATAAGTGAGGTATGACATTTGGATGCCAAGACTCGGAACTGATAAAATAATTTAGTTTTCTGTGCGGGTTGCCCATAAAGAAACTACCACAAAAATAATGATCAGTTCAGCATAAGTCTATTATTATTAGTATTACAAATATTGATTTTGAGATGTTACATTTCAAGAAGATTTTTATACTCGGAAGTTGTTTGCTTTTAATTTTTGTAGCTTTATTAAATGAAAGTCTAGTGAGTTTAATAACAAGTTTTAAGTTTTATGTGCAAAATCATTATCATAAGCTAGACTGTCTGAAAAACTCTAAATATTTAACTGTTAATTTAAACAATTTATCTAACTGACAGAAGTAATGTTATGACTTTTTTTTAAATGGATAAAAAATTGTTTGATTTCAGCTTCTTTCATCATTGAAATGTTTTTATAGGGAAATCAACACAAATTTATGTGCCATCAATAAATATTAAGCAAAAAAAGTGCATATGGTAAAGTAAATGTGTCAGTTTGATTATGTATTTAATTTGACAGCTTTATTACAGTTTCAGTTACTGTTTGCTTAAAATAGTCTCCGTTTATTTATTGCAGATAGCATATATTTCAGGTTCCTCTACCCTTACCACTCATCCAAAACCTTTAGACCACACACCTTTACGGAACTCAGACGTTCTTATTCTGTCTAGTTTAACTCAAACTCCACTGCTGAACCCTGACAGTATGCTAGGAGAATTATGCACTACAGTAGGTAAGTATTGTATATATTCTTCTACTACTTAATAATGACCTGTACATACTACTGGAGGTAGTTCAGGTTACTGCCTTGGAAGTTGTAATTGGACTCTTCTCACTGAACATGATATATCAACTGTAATCTACTAGGTTTTCAAGTAGTTTTTACCTTTTCATGTTCAGTGAGAAGAGTCCAATTACAACTTCCAAGGCAGTAACCTGAACTCATGGCTGATATCTTGAAAACCCCAAATACATCCTATAAAACAGCATAAATGTTCACTTACTAATATTGTACACTTGGGATTTTATAAACAAACAGCACAGCTTGAAAGTACTTAGAGCTATTATATATATGTAATAAAAGTACTCTGGCATTTGTATTGCAAGCAAACATATCACGAAGATGTAAAAGTACTAGCTCATATGTCAATGAGTGCTAAACATAGCTTGGACAATGTGTCTCTTCTATCAAATCATTCAAAATCAAAGAAGTTGAATGACATCAATTCAAAGGAGTAACAAGACACTATTATCCCACCAAGGCATTACGCACGTGTTCACCGCTTAAGGCACATTTTTGCAGACAAAAACAAGTTACCGAATACACAAAATTGGTTATTAAAATCACATTTGATGCTTGGTTAGGAATAACCAACCAGTGACAAAATATTAATCAATTACTTGTAGTAATGTAATTTCTAATCAAACATTCTTATGTAGTAAATGATTGTGATTAATATTATTGAACATTTTGTTAACTAGGAGTTTTTTTTCACTGCTATGGAACTCAGCATATGTCACCATGAAAGTACGATCTAAATTCTCTCATTTTGATTTTGTGTAAATTGCAGATACTAATGCAAAAGACAGCAAAATGTGCCAAGGACATCAGAGTTAGAGAATAAGAGAATTTACTCTTCGAGGGGGGTTCCTCAGTGTATGGTTTTGTTTTTGTTGCTGAAACACTTCAGACTGAAAATATTGTAAATGTTGTGTTTTTCATTTTTTGCTATAATTGATTGTCAAAACATTAACCAAAAGCTCAGTTGAGGCCAGAAAAGGATGAATATTTGGTTGAATTGCTAACTGTGCAAAAGCTTGCAAGAAAAAAGTGCTTAGAGTGGAAAATGTATGAAACAGCACAGTTCTAGTATTAAGATGTAAAGATTTTTAGGCCCATTTCATATGAGAAAATATCACGTTAACTATAGATCTTGATAAAAGAGTTTGCACAAAGGATCACATATAAAGTGTAATAAACTTAAAATAAGACCCAAAACTTGAGCGCTTTTGAATAGTTGACTATTCTTCTTCAGGAAAACAAAGGGTGTTCTTTGTTCTCCTGAAGAAGAATAGTCAATTATTCAAAAGTACTCGAGTTTTGGGTCTTATTTTAAGTTCATGTTAACTATAGGTACACTCTGTCACACTTTTTGTTATTTAGTTCTTATAGTGTTTTAGATCTACTTTTTTTGGTTGAATAGATCAATATATATTTTATTCGATAGGTTGGTTACCTGCTCCTGCAGTTTTCAGTTGGATTTATAAATGGTCTTTGATAGTGGACATAATTGTAAATAATTCAGAGAGGATGGGATTCTTTCATTTTGGCAGAGATTTTATCCCTTATGAAATTATGTCTTTTGTTTGAACTTTTAGTGTGATCAGTAGTGGTAACCACATAACTTTAAAATCTGATTTTTAATTCTGTCTAATGGATACTGCCTGCAGCATGTTTTATAGACTACAGTTCAGTAGAGTAAAATCACACAACAAATATCTAATTAATGTTAAATTCTGTCTAATGGATACTGCCTGCAGCATGTTTTATAGACTACAGTTCAGTAGAGTAAAATCACACAACAAATATCTAATTAATGTTAAATTCCCCCCAAAATATTTAACTTTATAAAAGATTATATATGATTTTGAGTTTTCAAATATTAGTAAGTACACCTACCACTTTCTCAGCAAATCCAACTACTTTCACTTTTGACAAACTACTGTTTACTTCTTTCAAAGAATACAGTTTCTTCCATGTTTTCGGTTTCAATACTTCACACAGCGGGGGTGATAACAGTCTAAAAAATAACAGTGAAATCATTATCTTACAAACAATACAAATTTTGATAACTGAACTTGCCTTTGAGTTGCTCTAACAATGTCATATGGATCATGCAGAGCATGTCATGCATCTTACAGCTCACATTAAATTCCAACATTAGCAGTTCTTATTTTGGCACTTCAAACCTTTCAGGTGATCAGTCTTAATGATAAGTTCAATAATGATATCTCATCAACATATATTATAAAATATCAGTTTAATAAAAGAGGATGAGAGAATGAACAGAGTGGGACAACACAAATGATAACGTAGAGAAAACTATTTCACTACGAAATGAAATCTTCCCACTACAACCTATCATAAAATAGTAGTTGCTCTGTAACATTCTAAACCTGGAAAAGCCTAGCAGTATGGCTTTCCATAGTGTAGTAACATAACCCCAAAGGTGGTATGTCAACTTTTAGAATTGAAGAGTCAAAGATCAACAAGAAATACTCATTTTTTCAGAAAACATAATGTTCTAATCCACTATTCACTAGTAAACCTAGGTTCTCTTAAACCTAGTTTATTTTTATTTTTTATTGTAATTCCAAACATTTCTACTAGTGACACATGAACGTTAGCTGGAGGGTCTCAGCATCTGAATGATGATAATGATGATTATGGGTTATTTGTTGAATTTTGCACAAAGCTACTCAAGGGCTATCTGCACTAGCCACCCTTAATTTTGAAGTTATAACCCAGAGGGAAGACAGTTAGTCAATGCCATCCACTGTCATAACAAATAGTGGGATTTGACCATTACTCTTATAATGCACTCATGGCTGCAAAGCGTGGAGCATAATTTCTTTCTTTATGGCAGTAACAGGGCATGAACCACTCAACCTCATATTGTACTAACCATTAGGCCAGATAATAGTGGTAGACTTGGCTTTTCGATATTTTAATTCATGCCTAAGTATTGTACATTAACAGCATGCATTACATTCTTGTTTTACAGAAATATTGCACATGATTACATAACAAATATTACTATGTTTTTTTATTAATTCAAACCAGTATCTTCTTTTCTTTTCTAACTTTACTCCATTTGTTATATCTTCCTTACAGACTTCAACTTAATTACACATTACACAACGTATAAACACATTTAAAATGTTAACAGTCACACAGAAGATGACAGCAACTCTAATGTTGAGATTTTACAAAAATGTGAAATGATTTTGAATATAACTGCATTATTAACAAAGTGAAATAATTTCATATGAAACCTTGCTATGTTTGATGATACTGACACATGAGTAATGGGCTGAACTGCACTCGAACGGAGATGGAATTGGAGTTCGTGTGCAAATTTTGAATGTATATCTACATTATCATGTCAGGAGATTGTTCTCAGATAACCTCTGTGCATCTGACATTTCTCGAGATAGCTAAACAAGAGCTTGGGATCATGGAGATAAGACAGTTACAAACACTACCATTTGCCTGAGACCTAATGAGGAAATCAAGATTTATAGCATTAAACATAGGGTAAGTTTTAGCCCTCTGCAACAAAGAACAGGGAGCTATTTGAAAAGTTTCAGGTGGCTTACTGTCAAAACTTATTTATCCTTTACATGAGAAAGTACATTTCCTACCACTGTATAATCATCATGTTAACATGAACAAAATGAAAGTTACATGAACCCATTACATTAAAGCTAGTCAGTGATGTTTTGATGTTATGCACTACTACAGTTATATTTAGCATTATTATAAATGTCCTTGTTTTTATTAGTTTTAAATGTATATTACATCTAGAACTGGGTAATTACTCAAATTCGATAATCCACTACCAGGTTCATCTATCAATTACATTCAATTAATTGATTATTTTCATGATACTTGGATGGCTGGAATAATCATAAATAGTAATAAACAGAAACACTAATTTCTATTAATTGATTATTTTTGTGAGTTGTGATGCTACTTAATTATGCTGAACAACTTCAAATTAATTTACAGTAATAAAGACAAATCACAATGGCAATATTTGAATGACTCAGAAACTTGGAATAATTAAAAATACTAACTTTTAACTGTTGATTATTTTCATGAAATTAATTGACTTAATTGTAATTTTGATAAATCCATTATTTTTACTTGACACTAGTTGATGTAATCAATGCTCGTAGTTAATCACTCATACTGATTAATTGAGTTAATTGCCCAGTTCTAATTACATCCAATAACAACCTTTTATAAATGTACAAATAAAAACTTGGTGAAATCATAGTTTGCATATGCAATAGAAAAATTTATGCATTCCTGTTCTTCACTTAAGTCCAATTAGTACTGTTTACAATACTCTATACTACTTTCAATTGACCCAGTCAATAACATGCATCAATGATTTTCTTCATGATCGATCTTAGAATCTGTACAGCTCATTAACACAAGAATGGTATGTGGATAATTGGCTCAGATGTAAAGTTGAAGCCTTATAATGCTAAACTTGATGTTTGATCCCCATGGTAGACACAGGACAAATAGCCCATTGTTAGGCTTTGTGCTAAGCCAATAAATGACAGAAAACACATGGCAATAAGTATTGGTCATAGATAGGGTACTCACAATCCATTGAATTATTCGTAGTATACAATACTCTACTGGAAAAAAAAAGTCGAACCAAAAAAAGATTAAAAACATTTATTTTGATCAGCTTTAAAAACTTCTAAACAATAAATGTCCTTACTTCAAAGTTTCTGGTTGTTTCCACTTGGTTGCAACTTTATTCTTAGGAGTTCTCTCAACATAATTTACCAGCTCTTCCATAAACTGCCTGAACACAATAGGTATCATTGAAAAATAGTATTTTGAATCTATGCATATTTAACTTTCAAACAAAAGTACATAAAAACTAAAGAATGAATGAATGTGTAAATCATGCACGAGCATTTAAACTATGAAGTAGTGCTTTCATGTTGTATTTAGAAGAAACTTCTAGTTAATTATACTAGACACAAGTGAAACAAGTTGTTCCAACAAGATTTAAGTCATCAATGAAAAATACATTTCAATACAAAGTCAAGAGTTTTCATCAGTTAGAAGGAGTGAATAATCTTAAGTGCTTATGACACCCTTGTCAGCCTATGGTTTTAAAGTCCTAAATCAGGGTTTTCAAAAGATATCCATAATGATCCTAATTTTTGAGAAATAAAAACTTCAACATACTGATTTAGTATTTAAGTTTATTTGAATTAGAAATATGCAACAAGCATGAATAAAAATTGCAACTACATAGTTACACTAAAAAAATTTTACAAACATTTGTTAAAAGTCTCAATAATTTTTCCTTTTAATGGGAATATAATTTGGGGAGACAGAAATTGTTTAATGTTTTTGAAACATTTTATTTATAGGAAATATGTAAAAATAAAAAGTTTAAGATCAACATTTTAAGTGACATTTTCTATTTTTCATATGATTTTTATGGCATGAAAAGCCAAGATGTCTGAAAGCATGAAACAGTGGTACATGTTTTTTGTGAAAGGAGTATATGGTAGATTTCAAACTTTATTACATGTAAACTTACCAAAATCGTAAACTTTACAAGTACTATTTGACAAATTACAATGGCATATACGTTCCTACCTTCCTATGTGAAGCGTTGGTTCAGTGGCATACACGATGCCTCTAAAATTTGTACTTTCAGTGATATATGGCAATGCCATCATATTCTGATAACTGGATATTAGAATCACATCAACTTCACCAAAGTCAAAAGTTCCCGTCTGTAAACAGTTTAGAAGATGATTTAATAATGTGAACTAAGATACTTAAATCACACAAAGTTGAAAACATCAAAACCTTACTCTGAACTAAAAGTACCAAATAACATGTAGAAAAAAAAAAAAAAATAAAGGCTAATGGTTAAACACTTTCCTCCTACTCCACCTGCTGCTCTGTTTTATTTTGCTATCAGTATTGAGGTGAAAATAAATTAGAGCTGAACTTTCCACTAAAAAAGCTGAGTTACTTCCATACAACCACTAAAGCTGAAAATACAGGGCAGAACTTACAGTAATTAAAAAAATATATTACTGAAAACCATGAATACATACGGTCAAGGAGACAAAAGGAACTTTGTTGGAAATACTGTAATCAGTGAACATGTGTAAGCACATCTTGAAATGTATCCAACATCAGTAAGTTAGAAGTTATGATAATGTAGAGATTAAGTACAATGACTTTGTATGAAATATTCAATCGATCAAATAAGTTAAATAATGTGCAAAAAAATTAAATTCTACAAGGATCAGATAAGTAGTGTTTACAGGGTAGGAAAAGTCAGCATTGGTTCAAATTCAGAAGAAAGCTATGTTATTACTGGAAATCTAATTGTGACAAAGTAGCAGTAGGAGTGTTAAAAAGGAAAAGCTTACATAATTCCCTGGTGTCATCTTAATCTCCATGACAATAAAAATACTTAACCCTTTAAAATTACTGCAAAATTTTCCAACTACAAATGGATAAAAAATAAATATAATTTTATTTAATTTATGATTACTAACTACATTTTATACGGGTATATAAAGAGTACATATACACTTTTGTTTTGCAACTTGGTCCGTAACTATAAACAACCACAGTTTTATGACGTATAACTGATTATAACATCCTCAATAAATTTTCATTATGTATGAAAGTCAGAGGTAGAAAAAAATTGGATATTTTAGTTTAAAATGGAACTTTTCTCACTCCTCATAATATCTCATCACATCTTCACTTCCTAAATATTGGTTCAACAAAGTTAAGTAAACATAGGGTAACCAGGACAAAATAAATGACAAGAAGAGCATTTGCCCTTCTCACATTTGCAAAGTCCTTTGCATATTCTGGTCTAAAAAAATATTTTTATTAAAATGTACTATATTTTAGTTGCAACAAGATTCTACACAATACTATAATGGACATTTTTTAATAAATAGTCAAACAATCAACATGGTTACTATTCTTGTTTTTCACAGGGTTCTAGTTAATCGAACTCTGGGGTCCTGTACGCTCGAAAATTTGTCGGTGCACACAAGATTAGACCCCCCAGAGTACCAAATACACACTGCAAAATGTCCTATAAACAAGGCAACACACAAGTACTTTGCTTTAAACTTTGTACCATAAAAACTAAGCAGCAAACAGTTTGCACACAGTTGTCCACAATCAACTTCTAACAGGTTTCATAAATGACAATAAATTGCATGAAAATAAAGCCATGTGAAAGTACCACGAATAATCCTTTCACTTTGAGTAGGTCAAAGTGCACATGTCAAAAACATTCAGTTACATTCAAAATTTAATCAACTACTTTATTATCAATTTATATGAATAAACTCAATATCAGAACATAGATAATAAATCAAAGTTTAGTATTATTAAATTTTAAGTTCTTAATTGTATAAGAAATTATTTTTTAAAAATTCTCAATCCCCCCTACTATGAGAAAAGTGATGTTTTTTTATCTATATCTTCCCTCTTCTCTAATTTTTACCACCCCTCCAAGAAGTATGAAATTTAATGTAAATTACTTATTATAATATTATTCATCATTCAGGCAAAGCATAATTTACATAGCCTTCAATCTTATTTAGTTACAGAGCAATAAAATAGAAAATTAGAACCCTCTTGACACACCCAAAGGTCACATCCTCTCTTTAAGAATTTGCCAATAATTCTCTCCGACATTTAAGACTATAGTATTTATAACCAATAGAAAGCCAATGTTTTTCTATATCAAATGACATACTATGTTGTTGTCCGTAGAGAAAACTGTCTATTTTCCTTCCAAGTCAAACTTTATATTCCCACAGAAAACACATCAATGAGTTTTAGCTGAATTTTTAACAGTTTTTGTCACATAGTTAGAAAGCCAAAAAATTGTGATAGTTATGGAACATTGTTTCCTTATTGCATGCTACTATTCTGTATTATTTAATTAAATAGAAATTATTTAATGCAGTAGTACAATTCAGGTAAGTACTTTATTTATTGTTTTTCACGTGTATTCTTTTTTCATTGTTATAAAATTAACTAAAATGTAAAAATTGAAAACTTTTTAGGTTAGATAAAGTAAAATAATATAATAATAATATTACTAATAATAATTTTTATGAAGTATGCTTGTGAGTAGTCTGTGCATTATGTAATTCAATACCATAATGGAGCTGCACGTTTGCCATGTGACATACAATTCATACAATTCAAAGGGCAATAAAACAATAAAATTTAAGTATAAATAGATGTATACTGTTACAAGCTTTAAGCTAATTAGGATAAACAATTGTGGATTTTTGGTACAATTTGAAGTCATTCCAGAAAGAAAATATTGGAAATTTATAATTATTTGCTAATTTTTTTTATGGTGGTTACAATGTTGGTCAAATTAACCATCCTCATATAGAAGTAAGGTGAAGAAAATAACAGATAATATATAATGTTTGTCTGGAAAAAAAACAAAAAAAACATTTTATATTTATTTAGCAGGTTTTAGGGGTAATGCAAATGATATTTAAAACTTACAAATGAAGAAAAGTATTTTCGACCTTATCGTGAAAATTACTTTGCACTCATACAGGGAAACAACATGCAGTTTAAATTGTAAATATAATTCTTCATTAGACATTATGATGCTTTTTTCCACTTGCAGAAGGTAAACATGTTAGTGTACATTGTAAATAAAATTTTTCATTGACACTGAGGTGCTTTTTTTCTTTGAGTTTATTAAATTCTACCCATGGGGCCCTTGAAAATCTCACTTGTACTCTTGAAAAACAAGAGGGAATCCTCAATAGCTATGGAACATTTAGACAGGATTAGAGTAAATTAATCTAATAAACCTTTTTTATCTTTTTATTAGCTATATTTATTTGCACCCGCAATACCAAGCATGGAGCGGGATTATACCAGATTCGATTTTATTGCTCATCAGAATCTCTACCAGCCTACCCTCAAATTGAAATTATTTGTAAAAATTTGTGTAGCCATGTGCAAAAACTGAGCTGTTTTTGTTGAATAACTTTGCACATGTGATTTATATTTAGACTAAATTTAACACCTAATTGTAGGTTGTAAAGATCTACCAGCGTACCAAATTTGAAAAAAAATCCATAAAAATTAAGTATGTTTTTCTATCAAATATAAAGTTTCTGTACTTTCAGTGCATAGAAAAAAAGGAAAAGAAATTCAATCAAAATTGGAGGTTTTATATCTCATGTATTTCTTAACCTTGTTGCAGCAGGCTTGTGCAATCTACAGAAATCGAGTCACAAATTTCACTTCTACAACAATACAAGTCAAGGAGTAACTGAGATTTCTTAAAATATCATCTCAAAAACTGGTAAGATTTCATAACAGATCATACGTATCCTATACACAAATAATAACGGTTTTATAATTAAGTGTTTTTACTAAAGATGTGTTATTTTTCTATTGTAGTTACTCGCATTCAAACTATTAACAAATTGATTTTCATTTTCAGTATCAAAACACTTTTCTTCATCATATAGTTTCATATTTTATTTGCATAATCTCTAGAACTTCCTAAAAGGATATCAAAAATTTTTTAAGGTAAATTTTTATATTATATTTTTCATTTTCTCAACCATATCACTCACACTAGCTATTATCATCAATGTAAGATGCAATGAAATAATTAAAATTAGGAAAAAAAACTTACTTTTTAATTTTTTGTAGAATATCTTTAGTTTCCTTTTGTTAACTTCATAATTTCATCTCTTTTTTTACATATGGCTAATTTTTAATGTTTTATTTTCTTGTCTTTTACAACTTATTATTCATCTCGACACAAGTCAACGGTGTCCTCGAGGCATATTACAATTTCTTTGGGAGATATGTACAACCCTTTGGCCAAATATTCGTTCAGTGCATAATATCGTAAGCTTAAGAACGAACGCGAAATATGATGTATATTTAAAAAATGTTTAAACCTTTCAATTATGCATTTTAAAACATAACTGACACATAATTAACCAAAATATAATAGTAATACCTAAGTACAATTTAAACAGTATCTCTAACTATAACATATTTAGGTAAGAAACAACCGTAAGTGCTATACTTGATCAAGTAGCCAACAATAGTATAGTCAATTTAATGTAGTTTGTGGTGAAGATTTCGTGGAAATTTCAAAATAACCATTGTTACTTTATATTATAAAATAAGCTCTTTCTAACTGTTATGTAAGCATCTTAGTGGATAGACGTACCTCTACTCTATTACCATTGTATTATTGAAAATACAGAGAGCCAAAGTAGAAATTTGTCATAGCTCGTTGGTCACGTGACATCTGAAGTTTTAAGTAGTTTTTTATAAGTTACTTAAAAGATAGCTAAAATAAAACTTCGAATCATAATATACAATACAATATTAAATTTATTCACAATACATTGATATTAAAAGTGTTTAATTAAATTTTGAATGTAACCCAGTGACTTGTGCAGAAAAGTACTTAAAGGGGCTCCTGTTGTGAAAGGGTTAATGGATTGCCTTGTATTTGAGTAAGGATCCAGTCAAGTACATCCACTGAAAATATGTGATAATTTGTATTACCACAGTTTGAGCTACAGAAAGGGGAAAATTGTTAAACTATAACTCCTGTTAATAACATACAGTGTGTCTTGCCAGACGACACACTACCGTGTGTTTTGATAACTGAAAAAAAAAAGAAGAGAAGATGAAAGTAGGATTTTTTCAAAACAAGTAGGAGAGTGGATAAAAAAAAAGTAGGACTTGCCACCCTGCCTTTGAAATACACAAACATTCTGTGTATTTCTGTTGAAAATATGAAAGGATCTGATCACAGAACTTTAGTCTACATAATTATATTAGAGGAAAGGGGGAAACAGCATTAAGTCTCCCCTATAATGATAAGACTTTACATACCTCTTTCACATGCACTATGTACAGAAGTCCCAAAAATGGTAAAAAACATTTTATGACTTACCTCTGGCACTAAAAACTCTGGTGTACTGTCCACAAACACTCTTCCAGCACATTCCTTCAGCTCCTGAATTAAATAATTGCCAATTCAGTGAGAAACATATTTATGGATATTTTCCACATCTAACACTTGGGGTTTCAATAAACATATACAATAACAACGAGTTAATATTTCATAATTAACTTTCAATTAATGATGTTATATAATTAAATTAAGAACTATAGTTTAAGAATATCTAACTAGAATAGAAAAGTGGTTTAAATCCTGACTGATTAGTTTGAAAAAAAAAACAATTGATCATGTAATAACCCTTTTAACTTTTTAAATAAAATAAAAATGTTTATAAGGATATCAACCCCTCTATCAAAAAGACCGAGGATCAAGTACCAGCCACTACCACTACAGGAACAGACCTTTTCAGGACTTCCCTGCAGATGGCAGCAGGTTAGCAGCTGAAGTGTAGGATAAAAACCAGTTAGTATTTAGTTACTAAAGAAATTAATAGTTAATTAATACTTAAAAGTTAAATGATCACCACTACCTTCCCATACATACAAACATAAAGAAATCAGTATTCGCTGTATTTATTTTAGCAATGAACTACAACAACACTACACAAGCTAGATTTGATGCCTTTCAACCTTTTAATGTCATTCTTTTATATTTAAAATTATAAAAAACATGATTAAAAAAAATTATTTTAGGCATGTGAAAAATAACCAAGCAAGCTTCAAAAATACATGGAACAACCATTCTAGGTGTATTTTCTTTGACATTTTTGGCACATGGCTTTCTTCATGTCGAGAATTGACTTTACTACAGAAACATTCCATATTTCATAAAATCGAAAGTGTTTGAAAACTTTAGATGAAGCGTTCATCCTGGAGTTAGTATCAATTTGTTTAAATTCATCCTTGTGGGTTGTCACCATCAATATTTTGATTTTCACACCCACTATCAAAATGTTTTGGATCAATTGCAATGAATGAGCAATTTAAGTACATATTGGTCAATATGGCACCACAATTTATCTATCACAAAGTAAATTGCAGTTGTAAATCTTTTGTCCAGTTTTCATTATTAAAATAAAGGTTTTAAGATATAATGTGATCAACCAACTGTTGACAAGATTAAGTAAGCAAAATAGCACTACATATTACTATGTATCATTAGCCCATAAACTACTTTTACACCATTAGGCCCACATATTGCATCATATTGAATATTTTATGTTTTTATCTATCACAACACTCAATGTAAAGAATACATGATAAAAAATTGGTTGAAATCACTCACTTTCTACATAAAATAACTGAAACATTCCAGCAGTAACTAGAGGGATTATATGTAATACTGAGAGTTTTTGTTTTGTTTAAACCTTTTTTTTTTTACTCGTATGTTATTAAGGACCCTATAATCAACAAAGTTATGGACCAACAAGTAACTTCATGCATAAAGTTTAGTAAGAATTGTTTGAAAAGCCAATGGAATCCTTAGACAATTGTAGGGTTAAATCAAACAAGAAAAACAAAAGTTTACAAGAAACAATAACTGTATATTTTAACAATGTTCATTTTTTAATATATATACACACACACACATACCCCTTCAAGTTGTGCATCAATACTATCTCGAGGAGTCCATATTGGAAGACCAGATATTCTGGGACTGCAAAGTAATAATAACACAGCTCAAAATGTAATAAAGGATTCTCAAATCCAAGTTCAACACACCTAAACCTGTTTAAAGGTGCATTTCTATATAATTAACAGTTCTTAAATCATCATTTCTACATTTTCTTGTATATAACTAACTTAATGCCTTTCCATTATAACCATTCATGTATGCAAGTGCATCACACATATTTTTCCTTGTTATTTACTAGAATAACTTATAAATGTTGTCATAGCACTAGTATTGGTGTTTCTCAAATTATATAACCAATAATATTTGAAGTGGAACTATGATATAGTTTTATTTATTAGCGTGAATTAAATGTAAATTTAAACACAAACATACATTCCATATGGAATGATGCAAAACCATGATCCAAAATGATTTTTTTCTGATTCATATCCTTGCAGATGTATTAAAACCTGCACTGTTGACATCATGACACAATGTCACAACAGGATCTTCCATGTGTACCTTTTATTTGCAAGGTTAATTACATCCCAACCAATAATCGTCACAAAAGAAAACAGGCAATTAGTGAAACATAAACACAACCTAATACACACATCTTTATTTTGTATAGGGGGGTTATTATATTTTACATGCTTTATTTCAGGATGCTAATACACTTTATTTCATTTTATACAGCTACTATGAAACAAAGAAACTAAAATGGGTGCTACTATAGTGTGCAGCCTACAAAGATATTTACACTATAGCATGCAGTCTACACAGATATTATCATCATCACCATTTTAATGATTCACTAAAACATAATTTCTTGCTAAATAATTTATATCTATCCACGTCTTTATTCGGCAAATAATAATAATTTAATAAGTTGTGTGTTCTAAAAGAGTACCTTAATTTTAGGTTATATTTGTGCAGTTTTGATTGTTGGAATATATTTCATTCCGATTTTATTTGCCCCCAAAACATTATGTAATGGTATTTTGTACTTTATTAGTTTAAAATTGTTGATTATGATAAATGGTGTCAATTGCAAATAAACAAAAGATAAAATGGCAACGATGATAGTTTTTGTGTAGACCGCATGCTATAGTGTAAATCTCTTTGTAGACTGCATGTTATAGTGTAAATATCATTGTAGACCACTTGCTATAGTGTAAATATCTTTCTGAACCACCTGCTATAGTGTAAATATCATTGTAGACCACATGTTATAGTGTAAATATCTTTCTGGACCACTTGCTATAGTGTAAATATCTTTCTGAACCACATGCTATAGTGTAAATATCTTTGTAGACTGCATGCTTTAGTAGCACCCTTAAATGTATGTAATGACTGATCTTCTGCCATGTATTTTGTTCTATGATTTTTATGTCTTCAACTGATTACTGGTCTTATGTTATCTGTTGTACGACATTACTTCTGTTACTATACCTTATTTACTGAAAATTATAAAGGCCCTGATATGTCTTAATCTACATAGACAAACAGAGTTTTTCACATTCTTTTCACACAAGTCCTAACAACTGTAGGTTGTAATCCATCTCATTTGCTGATGCCTGAAATGGTTAAAATGGTAAATGTAAGAAATGCAATGGCTGTACAATGTGAATACTACATAATATGCAACCTTGCATGTATATATCAAGAAAATGGGTAACACAACTTTGCATAAACACATGTGCATGAAGACAACTTTCATTAACTGTTTAAATTTGTCTGGCATTTTGTATAATTATTAAGGTCATGAACAATACTGAAAAAAAATAATTTAACTATATTCTCACACTTCATTTCAAAGAAATATGCACTTTTTTTTTCAAAATAGTTAACTATTGTGTTTTAAGTTACAACCTACACCAACAAAAAGACTATAGTCTCTAATGGCCAATGAGTATTAATAGTTACATAAAAAAGGGGTGGGAGACTTCTGACAATGCCACTCTTCTTTGCCACTATTTTTTTCATCATTCTTTCAAAAACTGAAAACAAAAAAATTTGCCAAGACAGTATCATTCTTTTAACCAAATACAGTAGACCATTATAAACACTAATTCATATCCGCTGAACTTACCTGTGAACTAACGGTAATGGAAGAAAGGATAACACTGATGTCATGTCTAATCCACAATCTAGCATTACGGCAGTATTTTTAAATTTCAAAATATTGCAGGACTTGTTGGGGTTGTTACTTAGGCAATACTATAAGTAAATAAATACACCTTTATTAAACTACAAAAGTAATAAATGCAAACATAAGTTTTAACATTATTTTAGCCCAAAAACCAAAGTGATGTAAAAATTCTTAATAAAATGTTAGACTTTAAGAAAATCTAAGTTACAAATATATACATTAAAAAAAAATTTAAACCTTTCAGTGGCTGGGACATAAGTTTTCCAGTGCTCCCCCCTCCCCCTCACACTGCGACTGGAAACAAATGTTTCCCATTCTCATTTAAAATTGCTGCGCATGACATATGGGAGTAAAATGAGTTGGAAAGTATTTATTGTCATTCCACCTAATGTTGATATATGGTTTCCTTCAATGTTTTCCACTCAGCCCTTCAGTAACCAACAAGATGCGTGCCCGCATCGCTAGAGTGACGAGTAGTAACCCTAATTACTATGTAAATATGCTTGATACACTTGGCTCAGATAGCTTAGGAGATTGTGAAAGTAAGTTAAGTAGTGTTCAGATGCATGATGATGAAGAGGCAATGAAGCAAGAGGATGCTAGCTCTCCATCTAGTGATGATAGTCAAGATGATGAACCTGGTCCCAGCAGAGGAAGGCGTAAACAGTCGCAATGTCAGAGGGTGGGAGCAATTGGAAATATATGTAACAGCCCCAGTGAATGGGTTAAGAGCACTACTGTTCACACAGAATTAAAGTCATGACACAGAAAACTAAAACTTACTTTTTTATTAGAGGGAAAAAAAATTCAAATATGAAGCATAACATGAAAGTGTGCTGAGAAAAGTTTTGCATTTCTGAAATCAACTTCACTTTCTATACATTAATTTTGTCTAACTAAGCTACAATAGGGAATCTTTAAAGATGTCTACTGCATTTCTTAGTCTATGATAATTAGTCTATTAATTTAAGGAAAGCGTTGCGATCACAACAAAATATCGTATACATACTACAAGGAAAGCGTTGCGATCATAAAAAAATATTCGTATACATACTACAAGGAAAGCGTTGCGATCACAATAAAATATCGTATGCATACTACAAGGAAAGTGTTGCGATCATAACAAAATATCGTATACATACTACAAGGAAAGCGTTGCGATCATAACATTAATTTTGTCTAAGCTACAATAGGGAATCTTTAAAGATGTCTACTGCATTTCTTAGTCTATGATAATTATTCTATTAATTTAAGATATTACAATAACATTCAGACAAAAAGGGAACATCTAGTCCTTCAAAGCTCTCCCTGCCAACCCACCCTTAAGAAGTGAAAATTTAAACCCACATTTATTTTTCACTAAATTATCAAATACCTTTAAAAGTATTGTAAGATATTGACCTACTACTACCAACAGTGACTCATTCCATAAGCCATTCACCCTGTTAAAAAAATTAAAAGTGTCTTAACTGCCTATCTTTTCCAAATTGAGTTTGGTGTCCTCATGTCTTTCGAATAAAGCACAAGGAAATCAGAGGATTTTATCATGTTGATCCTCCAAATAATCTTGTAAACTTCAAATTTCAATGAGATCACATCTTAGCCTCCATTTCTCAAGTGTAAATAAATTAAGAAATATTTACTCATCCCCATAAGATAACACTTCCATCAACCAACTGATCCAAATCATTTTGGAGCACCTAAACGTTCTTAATACAGCTATAAACATCAGAGTTTATCATCTGTAAACTACTAATTTAGTAATTAACAGACTTATCACTTAAATGATTTATTTGATAATAATAAGTTATAAGCTATTAACATAAGAATTAACACAACCACAATTATATAAAAATTAAATGCAAAAAAAGGGCCATAATTCAGTCTACTTTTATAAATTACACTAAAAGTAAAAACTACAGTGACATGTAACGAAATTGATATTTGTTTTTTAAACGTATCTAAAAGTCAGAATTAATTAACATTTAATAACAATCCTTACCAGCTTCATCTTCCCGGCTGAATTCTTAATTTCTGGTTCTGTTCTGTTCAGAGGTTTGGCTATTTGAACTTCAAAGTAAAATTACAAAAACGAAATGACTTTTTATTAAACAGTTACAATTCAGACTGTAGCCTGAAAGAAGATTACGAGTTTAAAATGCACCTTTGCGCTTAAATAGTAATTCTGAAGTTAAAATCTGTCACTTTCAGTTTTATAAAATCAAGTAAATCTTGATCCTGCAGTTACTGAACATGTCTTATTTGGGCTTAAGTTTTTGAACTTCACTTCAGTCATAAGCATAATAAGGCCTTACACATCAAGCTCGCTCTGACTGTGCAATAATTTAAATTTATCTTGATATCTGGCACATATTGTATTAGCAAATAAGACTAATACTGCATTTTAGTACAATTCTTTTAATACTCTAAAAACTGTTTATGTTTAAATACTAAGAACAGTAGTGACAAATTGCAATGACAAAATTTCACGAAAAACTAATTGAGACAATATTACATACATCCTCTCCAAAGTATTTAGGGACCAACGATTAATTACATAGCTTTATGTTATTAAATAAGCATAGATGCATCATTTATCAAAGTTAGAAACAAGATGAACAGCTAAAACATAAGAAGTGAAAAATTATATTTCATTTTTGCGATAAAACGAGTGTTTTCTTCCAGAGTAATAGTAAATAAAAACGAGTGTTTTTATTAATATTTGTTTCTTAATTAAACACTTTTTATTCAAATGGACCTGGAGGTGAGGTGATCGACTCGCAATTTTAGGATCGGGTTCGAATACCTGTCCCCGGACATGCGCGTCCTTTCAGCCGTGCGGGCATTAAAATGTGATGGTCAGTCCTACTAATTGTTGTTAAAAGAATAGCCCAAGAGTTGGAGGTGGGTTGTATTGACTAGCTGCCTAACTTTTAGTCTATTGTTGCTAAATTAGGAACGGCTAGCGCAAATAGTCTTGGAGAGCTTTGCACGAAATTCAAAATAAACCAATTCATTCAAATAGGCATTTTGGGCGCAATGATATATTTAATACTACGTTTATTACCAGTACTGTTTGGCGTATTTACTATATCTATTTTTATTATTTTAATTTTTCATTATTACATTTTTATTATAGAGATGCTGATGAAAACGAGGGTACCCAACTGATGAAACAATGCATTATAATGTTACGTATCTGCTTGTTTGATAATTTCCCATAAAATTTCTTTCCGAGAAACTTCAGCGATACAAGTCCTTTCTTAAATAAAACTAGTTTATTCTTTTTCAATACAACTTTGCAATACACAGAATTTCCACAATAACTTTAACTTAACACACGCTATAATTCACAACGATTCACGCACTTTACTTACGGTCACTACCGCTCGCTTGACTCAATTATCTGTCTATCTGCCATTATATCTCCGCTTTATTTACCGGGCTTATATATTAAGATAGAGGACGTCTGGCAAACACTCGAGCCTTCATGATCCTTCTAGAAACCCATCACGTGTTACCAGCGTCACTTGACTTCCGCTGTCGTAACAACAATTTTTATAAGTAAGAACAGTATATTTAATTAACTATAGTCATTACCGTGTTGATTTTTATTTTTGATATAAATATGTAGTCGATCTGATCAAAAGTTAGAATTAATGACTGTAGAAAAATGTTTAGTAAGTAAGTGAAATATTCAACTGGATATGGAAACGTGGATGTTATGTCAGGGTAGCTTCACACACTATGACCATGAAATGCCTATGTACTTCGTGGCAGTGGGGTCTATTTTCACACACAGTAGTCCAATTGGGGTCCTGGTAATCAACTGGAATATATCATTTGTTAACATGTTTTTCTGTAGTAGTACTAGTTATTGTACAGAGCGAAATTTCACAATTTAAAGAACTATTAGTTTTAATTTATAAAAGCTGTCTGGCAAGTGTCAATTGTGTACCAAACTGTAATAATACCGGCTAGTAGGTTTTTCCAAGATAAAAAAAACTACTGAAACTTTATATTCGAGCAGTCCGACGATGGGAAATGGACTGTACCAATGAATCGGAACTATCCACTAAAAATATTTTCAGTATGCTACTTATTACGTAAATAATTTGAGACCACTAAAGCCACGCTTCTGTCATCTCATTACACCAAACCCGATAGACAGATATGATAGGGTTGTATGGATGCTTCTTATCAAAGTTTTTTTTAATTAAAATCGTAGACTAAGAGATAAAATTACTGTTACGTCTCTGTTCGTTTGTTAATTTTCCGTAGAAATTCTTTCCCAGAAACTTCAGCGATACAAGTCCTTTCTTAAATAAAACTAGTTTATTCTTTCTCAATACAACTTTGCAATACACTTAATTTCCACGGTCACTTTAACTTCAACACACGCTATAATTCACAACGAACGATTCACGCATTTTACTTAGTACCGCGTTTGACTCAATTGTCCGTCTCTGTCTGTCTGAAAATTCAATTATCTCCCGTCACTTCTCGCCGGTCTTATATACTATAAAAGCGCGAGTCTAGCAAGCGCTCGAGCCTTCAGGAACGTTCGAGATACTCATTACGTGTTACGAGAGTCACGTGACTTCCGCTGTCGTAACAATACTTTTATAATATTGAGAGGTGATTACACTCTGCAATTTTGGATTATTTTGTTTGTTTGTATAACGCCCCCACGGCTGAAAGGACAAGCATGTTTGGTGGGACGGGAATTCAAACCCGCGATCCTCAGATTGCGAGTCGAGTGCCCTAACCACCTGGCCAATTTTGGATTAAAAAACAAACTTCCTTGAGATTATGTTATAGGGTACATTACATGATTATTGTTATTCATAAAGAGATAATAACGATATGCCAAAGAAAATGATAGTGAAATTTTCATTTATTTTGTATGTAAAAATACAAAAACCACCTCCATTCATACAATTAAAAATAAATATTTATTCATCTGTTGTTACCAATTCTGTTAAATTTGTCAATAACCATTATTAATTTTTTCACATATTCATAAAAAATAATTATTAAACAATACAATTGTTACCTAATCTATCACATATCCCAGTTCCGGTATTTTTACAGCTGAATGTGATTAAGGTTTAATATTGTAAAAAGAAAGTCTGTTAATAATTATTAAAAAAAAAACTTCTGTTGACAAATGCAATATTTCTTCAATTGGGGTAACAATGCATTGATGAATAAGAACGTATTGTTGCGTCAGCGAGTCACATGACTGCTGTGACGGTGCCTGGCATGGCCAGGTGGATAAGTCGCTCGACTCACAATCTGAGGGTCGCGGGTTCGAATCCGCATCCCACCAAACATGCTCGCCCTTTC